GTCCCCCCCCCCCCCCCCCAATCAAAGAGTGGGAGTTAGGTCACGGGAGGTTATCGCAACAAAGATAACTGACGGTTGAGGGAACAATTTAAAGTACGTGGTATGCTGGAGAGGCGAGCGCGTTGTTATGGGACATTGACGAAGGTTTTTTTGGGCGGAAGTTTTGCTTGTCTCGTGTGAACGAATTCGAAGTCAGACTCCCAGGTGTGGGCCTGAGAACTGAACCCGCGAACTCAGCTCAATGCTATTGACTCGTCAACAGGCGAACACGCAGAAAAAAGGAGAGTGCAGAGCTTCATGGGATGCAAAAAGCAAATTGCAGTAGTGTATCTTTTACAGGGCACCACGCGCAAAGGGAGGCCTGGGCACGAGGAAGATCTCACGCAGAAATACTGCTATTCTCATCACGCTTCTGCTTCTAGTAAAAAACGGAATTATCTACCGAGCAATTCACGTTTCTAGTAAGTCTCTTTACGTGAATGACGTAACTGGAGGAACGATATCTCGCGAGCCACACCCTTTTCCCTGCCCTCGTCACCTGTAACTCACTTCCTTTCTAGGCACATGTTATGGCCAGCAAAAAATCAAGGCAGTGGACCCACAACCCATTTTCCCGTTGATCACTCCTCTAATTCTTCTCAGAAGGGGGCCTGAGAAAGAGGTTGGTGCAACCATCGCACATCTCACTTTCGGGAGGGGGAAGTATAAATGATAAAACGAGGGCGCGCGACTAGTTTTGGAAGCGACGTTTTGGTGACATCATGATGCCAATTATCAAGGAATAGACCTTTTTACCGATACGGCGGCCACATTGAATTAATTCGATTTAAGGAGTATTATAGGATGCCCAGGGGGCATGAGCACATTTCGTTTGTATTTTTGAGCGCTTTTCGAGACATTTTTTCTTAAAGGTTTCTTAGAATAAGATTGTAATGTGAAAAAAGATCCTTGTGCCGTGTTTGGATGTAATAATGATCGCCTTTATCTAGTTTAGTATTAGAAATATGGTCTTTCACTGTACATTTCTCGGGAAAAAGGCGATCATTATTACATCCAAACACGGCACAAGGATCTTCTTTACCATTACAATCTTATTCTAAGAAAACTTTGCGAAAAAATGTCCGCAAAAGCGCTCGACTGATACAAACCAAATGTGCTCATGCCCCCTGGGCATCCTATAATACTCCTTAAATCGAATTTATTCAATATGGCCGTCATATCAGTAAAAAGGTCCATTGGAAACGAAAAAAGCCGAGTTCGAAAAGAGTTCAATAGTCTGAATTTGCATAAATGAAGTAGAGCTATATTTAGCACGGATTTGTTTGCACGTTCAAGCACGGTCTTTATTGTTTGATGTACAGCATTTAGTTAAGAAGACAGTGAAATTTGTTCCTGCATTTTTCAACACTTTTAATAAACCAACTGAGGAGGTCCTCAGAGACATCGCCCGCGTGGTCTTTATTCCGATATTTCACTGTTAGTGTCATGGAATTTTGGAGACTTTCTTTTTTGTGGCCGTTTCCATAGGGAAGCGCATTAGTTACAGTAGAACCACTAACTCGAACTGGGATAACTCGAACTCCCCGCTAACTCGAACTAAACTTTCTCTCCTTTGATCAAAAAGTCACTGAAAATTACCTCAATAACTTGAATTCTGGTTCTAGTAACTCAACTCGGACACCATTCCATTAGCTCTTCTTGTTGTATAATCAGTAAAAAACACTAAATCCAACACTGGTTAACACTGAAAGCAATTTGATTTTAAGTGGTGCACCGTTTGGTGTTATTGTTTCTGATAAAATAAGTTAAGCTTGCACTGCAGTAGTTTCAGAGTTCGAGTTAGCGGAGTTAATGTTCTACTGTATTTCGCAATCGGCCATTATGGGGTTGCGTTTTCCTAGCATGAACTATGGTCGTTGTTGGGTCGAATTGCACCATGGGACATGTTTGAAGCACTATCGCTCCTTTTATTGGCCATTACGGAGTTGCGTTGGATACTGGGTCACCCAAAGCAATCCCACAGTGCAATTCGACACAACACCGACCCAGTCTCATCGCAATCTCAAAACCCCTAAATCACCATCTTCACATTACCCACAATGCACCTTGTTTACTCCCAACTCCGAAAATTTGCTTAAGAATTGTCTTCAATTTATCATGAGATGACTGTTGTACAAAGGAAATAATTGGAAACAATGATTACGCAAAATTCTGGGGGGTAAACAGACTGTATTATATGGATGCAGTGAAAATGCTTTCAAGTGAAGTGCTGCACTGGGTTCAAAAGAGGAGTCATAGAGGCCGTGTGATCTGTCCCTGTGATAATTTGACTAACACAACAACCTGGCTCACGTTTTAGCGTTTTTATTTTTTCTTTTATCATTTTAAAAGCGAGTTTTCTGCTTTAGCACATTAAGCGGCTTGTCAAAGTGCAGTACGCCCACCGCAAGACAAGTAAAAGTTGCCACGGATACACTGCACCGCGATCACCTGTATAATCAAGCGCGAGCATGGCGACCGCTTTCGCGTAATTTTTAGTTGACAAGCCTCAGTTTTAAAGCAGTAAAAAAAGCACGCACAGCTGCTAGAAATAATGCATCAAGCAGATGTGAAAGCAAAACACAACTTGCGCCTCTGTTTCCTTATTTGGGAATGAGGTCCTCAATGGACTTGTTTTTCTCCAGCCTCTTTTCTATGTTGATCAGAAGATTGACGCCGTCAATCACACTCTGTACCAACTCTACCTCAGAAAATCCGAGGCGATCTGAGTTGGAAATGTCAAACACACTTCCCACGGCCGCTGTATCAACGCCACCTAAAATAAAAAAGAAAATACAAAGTTAATAGTCTCTGACACAGATAACCTCGAGGACAGGTTTAGCTTTAAGAGATTCGATTAAGAAAGGGCGAAATGGATGGGGGATCAAAGTGTGAAAGACAGAGAGCGGGAAAGAAAGAAANCTCTGTACCAACTCTACCTCAGAAAATCCGAGGCGATCTGAGTTGGAAATGTCAAACACACTTCCCACGGCCGCTGTATCAACGCCACCTAAAATAAAAAAGAAAATACAAAGTTAATAGTCTCTGACACAGATAACCTCGAGGACAGGTTTAGCTTTAAGAGATTCGATTAAGAAAGGGCGAAATGGATGGGGGATCAAAGTGTGAAAGACAGAGAGCGGGAAAGAAAGAAACAAACAAACAAACAAAGAAAGAGAGAAAGAGAGAAAGAAAGAAAGAAAGAAAGAAAGAAAGAAAGAAAGAAAGAAAGAAAGAAAGAAAGAAAGAAAGAAAGAATGAATGAATGAATGAATGAATAAATGAATGAACGAACGAATGAATGAAAAAGTAACTAACGAATGAAACAATAGAATGAAGGGAGAAAAATTAGGTAAAACAAAGAATCAGGGCCAAATAAGTTAAATGAAAAAAAACCTGTGGATTTACAGCGACTTGACTCACAGTTTGTCAAAAGTAAAAGTAATATTGACAAACTATAAAGCTCTGTTGAAGAACGATATGAATGCTTACCAGTTCCACGTTTCTGCAGTCGAAGTTTGTCCAATATGTCACCAAACCTTGAATCCTGCAATATTGATATGTTTAGAGTCGTTATTGTTTGGTAAAACAAAAGCCTTTGGTCCTCTTGCGCGGGTTTTTGCTATGAAATTGCGTGACCATGCGCTTACTGCCAGCTTTGTTTGTTCACGCGTGTGAAACGATCATAATCCCATACTTTTTCGCGTTTTTCAGGCAAGCGAAGGCAAGGGCGAAGCGAGCGAGGCGCGCGAGATACGAACGACGGGGAAAGGCGCAAAAAAGTAGGGCCATTTGTGCAGGCTAGGATGATCTTAGTCCACGTATTTACCTTGGCCAAGTGAGGCAGTTTCACGTGCACTCCAGCTCTAAGACCTGTTCCAAGGTTGGATGGGCAGGTCAAGATGTATCCCAGATGTTGGTTCCACATAAATTCATGTCCCTGGCGCTTGATGAGTCGTTCAACCTCATTGAGTCCACGACAAAAGCGATCAAACACCGAGCGCATGTCTCCTCCCTTCTCCATCGAGATGACGCGCGTGTGATCTTCCTCGTTTATCCAAACAAGGAAGTTCTTGTCATTGTTGTGAAAGATTCCACGCGCGTCGGGCCAATCACGTGCCATGCCCGCGCACGTGAGAAGCGGAGAGACCGGTTTGTCAAACAGGAAGTGGTCGTCAATCAACTGCTGTTGTTCGGCCGCGGTCATACCGTTCAGCGGATAATACTGACCAGTTAAGTTTCCTGAAAATATTATTAAACTGTTGATTACAGATTGTAACTATAATACTGCTTGCAGATTCAATTCTGGGAAGTATAAACTGAACAGTTCAGGGATAAAGGGCTACAGCCATGAGTTATTTGCGATGTGATCCTTCATTGGCCAATTTACAGTCATATGAAACTAATTTGAAACTGTTTGCGCGCGCCACCTGCCTCGTGCCTAGGCGGTTCTTGAGATTTTCGAAAGGGAAGGCTTCACGTCCTTCCCATAACCCCTTGCGTCGCGACTACCGCAGAAAATTCCAAGAGGCGCCTGGGTACGGGGCAGGCGCGCCACAATGTGCGAATCTCAGCACAATTAGAATGACCCAATAAGAGTAATACGATTGACATACGATTTCATTCAATTAGAATAAGAAGGCAAAAATATGCGCGCTCATACAGAAACTGACAATAACAGAAACAGTAACAGTAGCTTTGAATGTCAAAATGATTTAGTGAAAACAATGGGCGCCGGTGAGAGACATTTGATCCACGGTAGAAACAGTCCAGTGTTCACGGCGAAGAAGCACATGAGAAGACGCATGCAAGTTAAGATAATACCGCTGGACACACGCTTGCTCAATATCAACTTGACAAACATAAATCAGGTTAGATTGAACGCCTAACTAGGCCATTTCCGAGGTCCAAAAACTCTTACTTTCAAACCGAGGCTAAGTGCAAAACCTTTCTTGTGAAAATGAATTTCATTTGCATCAGAATTAAAAAAATTATTTATATCAATGGCTTTGCTCTTTGCCTCGGTTTAAAACAGGCTTGGAGCAACTCGGAAATGGCCTGTTAAAGGAAGAAAATGACCGGCAACTCAGAGATAAGTGTGCAGTTCGCCTGCGGGCTCGTAGCCACAACATTTGTGAGAACTAGCTTCGTCTATTCACACTTATCCAGAGGAGCTACTTGTAAAAGTGTACAATTTTGAATACCCCGTCTGGCGCTTTTTCTACTGGTTACTGAACTAATTACTGTCTCACGTTGAAACTGAATAACCCCGACAGACGGCTAGAATTTTTTTATCTCTCTCACTTATTTATGTAAGATAAGTTTCTCCTCTTAGATGTTGTTTAATATGTCATTATTAAAAATCAGTACAATAACAATACTTAAAAATAGAATGAAATTTAAATTCACCCTACATTCACCATTCTCTTATCTTCCCCTCCCATGCCCTTCTCGCCAAAAAAAAAAACGCGGACTACTTGTTTTAACGACCCAATTTTCTTACTTGCCTTTCCAAACAAGCAAAAATGAAACAAAAACATTGAATCCTAAAATGACGCTGAGTTACCTTCGGGAAATGAGTCCCTGTAATTTAATTTCATCTGAAACTTCCGATTCTCTTACCTTCATCTACCCCGTTTTCTGTCTGATTTTGTGTCTCGTCCCGTATCCCGCAAAACCTTTAGCCCTTTACTATAATCTCTTTCTTTGCAAAAAAATACTAACCTTTAAGGCCATCCAAGGCTTCGCACACAACATTTTCCACTTCCCTCCGCTCTGCACGGCTGCAGTGAGGTGGGAGACTGAACCCGCGAACAGACCGTCCCGTGCGCACGCGGGATGATAGCACGTAACGCTCGTCAAATTTCCCGCCACGGATTTTGGACGAGTCCAGATCTGTCTTGTGTACGTCAGTCTTTTTGAAGCCATTGTGGCGCTCTTCAATGATGGGATCGAAAAGTTCTGCGAAGGTCTCATAGGATTCTTCATCCCCAGCCACGGCGCCCACGGTGAGAATGAACGGATGTCCTGGGTTATCCACCCCAGTTTGGATCGCCGCGTCCAAGGTGAACCCACTAGCCGTGGCTTTGTCGCGAAGTTTGCTGTACAATCGCGGCGTTAGATGTTTGGCCATNGAAGCCATTGTGGCGCTCTTCAATGATGGGATCGAAAAGTTCTGCGAAGGTCTCATAGGATTCTTCATCCCCAGCCACGGCGCCCACGGTGAGAATGAACGGATGTCCTGGGTTATCCACCCCAGTTTGGATCGCCGCGTCCAAGGTGAACCCACTAGCCGTGGCTTTGTCGCGAAGTTTGCTGTACAATCGCGGCGTTAGATGTTTGGCCATTAAGTTGTTGTGGTTTCGGAGGTCGGGATAGTCGGCCATTGCGGGAAAACCGCGGCCATCGCAAGTGGAATTTTGGCGCCGGGCCAATACGGCTTTGTAAGTAAGGCCAACTGCGATGGCGCCCACCCCAACACCTATTGCGGTAAAAAGACGCCCTCTTTGCCCTTTTGTGAAGTTCGAAATAGTAACGAACGCCAT